AGCACATTCAAAACGACAACATTGACCAAAGTACTGGACATGAACAATAAAATAAGATATACACTCATATACATGCCAGCTCACAAGAGTAAATATATTTACAGGATTGCGAAAAATACATGGTAAATGGCCTGTATTTGTATAGCGCTTTTACTAGTCCCTAAGGACCCCAAAGCGCTTTACACATCCAGTCATCCACCCATTCACACACTGGTGATGGCAAGCTACATTGTAGTCACAGCCACCCTGGGGCGCACTGACAGAGGCGAGGCTGCCGGACACTAGCGCCACCAGTCCCTCTGACCACCACCAGCAGGCAACGGGGGAAGTGTCTTGCCCAAGGACACAACGACCGAGACTGTCCAAGCCGGGGCTCGAACCGGCAACCTTCCGATTACAAGGCGAACTCCCAACTCTTGAGCCACGATCACCCGTACAGCAGACTAAATATCTAAGCTCTCACTCCAGGATGTAAGCCAAGGAATAAAAAGTATTTTTAAAAATAAGCAATGGGGAGGCCAGCCTAACATTACTTTATCAGTATCATAAGTGTGAGATGTCAACTTAGAGAAACCCGGTATCAGCTCATGTCAAAAGTTAAAATGACCTAGCTCAGATTCATTTTCATGACCTGACATAGATCAGGATGTTTGTTCACTCTTCTGTTTTCACTGCTGAACTTCTACTGAATAGCTGTCCTATTTTCTTGCTTTGTGTTGTATTCATTCTCTGCTCAACTCAGTTTCCTCTTGCTTTTAGTCTTAAACCACACTCCCTCTTGCACAGATCCTATGTCTGCATTCTTCTCCTGTGAGGTCTTCAGATCAGTTCCTCATGAGTGCTGTTTGACACGATAATCTATGCATGGAGTTTGTCTACATGAACCTGACATATTGTCTGTTTTGTTGCTGCTCATGAATGTTGCTGGCTGTGGATCCCTCTTGTTTCACACTGCTCTGAAACGGACTGCAGGGTTCATTGGGAGGATCTCAAGCCACGAGACTGCTTCCTCAGGGGAGGTCAAGGCTGAAGCTGGGTCGGGTCTCTGATAGGTGGAGATTTTGGCTCGTCTAGTGGCCGACTTGGACTGTTTGAGTGTTGCCAGGCAAAAAGGAAGGTTTTGATTTACCATCGCGTCTTCCGAGCAGCTTGTCGCAATTAGTGATGTCAGCAGGGAAAGAAACAAATATGAGGCATTTCTTCAAAGAGCAAGCGTACTCTTCCCATGAGTTCATTCTTTCCTTGGGTTTCTGAAGAGAAAAGGGGGCAAAAGTGCAGCCTGTTTCTCTTTGGCCAAGTTAGGTTTTGCAGGTCTTCGTGATCTGCAGGCTAAGGTGTCACATTTAAACTGAACCAACTGGATTATAAAGCGTCAAAAACAGTGACAACATATAAAGTTGGACGGCATGATAAGTTTTGTTTGTATGTTTATTTCATAAGCCGTACTTTTTAGATGGATAACCAATAATAAACTTAGTGACACGTCTGAGCTGTGCCTCAGCTCTGCGTTCTATTTTCTTGATTTAAACTGTATAACACTGTTTTTTAACACATTGCTTACATTTAGTTGCCTGCCGTATTTTAGACAATTTATCACAGCGCTCTAGTTTGTGAGCATTGGTTGTGTTTTTCATGGTTGCAGCTAGCAGTGCCAAGTTTCCCCACTCTCCTCCTGGCTGTAGGTATCCCATGCAGAGGCCATCTGTCTCTACTCCCCTAATGGTAAGGGTGGAGTCCTCTTTAAACACCTCCCCCACACACGCACTGCCACCACCACCCCGTTCCCTCTTATTTTCAAATGCCTACTGCAAAACAAACAGAGCATGGCATAGATGGAGTTTAGTTTCTTTGTGTGCTTTGACTGGCCTGAAAACTGACACGAGTCAGATAAACTACCTACAGTAGCAGTTGGGGTGTCGTGTCAGGTAGCAGCAGAATGTGGAGCATGTTGAAGAGAAGTTGGGTTAGAGACACGTGTCTGCATACATCAGTACAATGTCACGCATGCCAAGTATGTAAGTGTGCTGCAGGAGGGGGTTTTATCAGCCTGCCATCTACATTCTTGTTTCTGTCATAGATACGTTGTAGGTCTTGATCTCTCTGTCAAGCGTTTGTCTTTTTTTCTTTCGTCAAGCCAAACAAATGAGTTGCACTAGTAAGGTGACAAAAAAGAAAACAGCTGTTGTGATGGCTCAGATGACTGTGGAGTGGAGAATGTGGCTCTGACCCTGATTCTCCCCCACACCAGTGCATCCAGAGGACTCCTATAGAAATAATGCAAACACAGGGCAACAAATGCACTGCAAAGCACATTATAGGGGAAATTCTTTTGTGGGGAAATGAAGTAATGACCCAGAGTGACTTTTCCAAATGTCATTTTCAGGCAGATGGCAAATAAGGCCACCTGGACTAAACAATTCAGGTTAAAAGTTTAGATGCAGTGCAGAGCTGTATTGGGTCAGTCTGCACACACAGAAAGGTTTGAAAATGTGTGTGAGGAAGAAGAAAAAAACTGAGGAAAGCCCAAATGTGACAGTACAGCACGAACCTTCACAACACAATGCAACATACATTTAAGACTGAGCAGCCATTCAAAGTATATGCCCGACTCGCACACATGTTCACACACTTATTTCTTATTTTGGAAGAGAGAAACTCAGTGTCTGTTTGTCCGTGTGTGTATGTGTGTAGTCACTGAAATTACAGGGGACGTAATGGAGCACGGGGAGCCTCAGCCTCATTGGCTGTATTCCTCAGAAACCAAGATAGCATTGCTGTGGCTTACCGCTCACATTCATGCCAGCAACTCAAAATACCAGCCAGTGGACCACTTTTATAAGCTTTACTCCATACACATCCGAGACAACGGACAAAGTGGAACTTTATGGCTCCCAAATATAACTTACTCTGCAAGCATGTCAAGAAACCCAAGAAATACTGTTTGATTATTTTGAATAAAATCACCTTTTTATGTTTGATGTATGCAACTTTTTCACAAAGTTTAAGGTGGATGTATTCTGCTTTTCAACCTGAAGCAGGGCTGTAAGTCTTTGTACGACTCTGAAAAATGAGTAAACGTGCGTCAATCAATCACTCATTGGTGAGATTGTTCTAGAAAAAAAAAAAAACAGGAAGGATTTTTTTCCATTTAGAGCACTAGCCAGAAACCTGCAATTTAAGACTTATTTCAGGTTACCTTTCCAAGATACAGCATTCATTCCCACCAAACTAGATGTTTTTGTTTGTTTTGTTTAAACACAGCCGCATGCCTGTCAGCAGTGATCTGTAAAGTGATAGGGATGAGAATCTTTGGCAATAAAAATATCCAGTTCTGATTGTTGGTGTCATGGTTTGATCAATTCAAAAAGGAGAAAGAGGATTTCTTTGTTTTGGTTCTTAGTTCTGTACACAGTAGGGTTGGCACATGTACTCTGTACTCCATAGGCTGATGTTCTTCTTTGGGGCAGCATAGGATTCTTGCATGCACCCATTGTATTATCACTATCCATCCATGCACAATGCACAATGTGTGGGGCGCCCATCAGTACAACGCTTGTATACAATGTGCCAAACTATTGCCTGCTGAGCTGCAAATGAAACTTAGCTGAGTGTTAAGTAGTGCTGATTATGTCATTTTCTGATTAAGGCGTGTTTACAGAAAATGACAGAAAATGTTGGTGGGCACGAGGCTCATTGTGACACACAACGAGCCTCGTGCCCACCAATTTCTGAAATTACCGTTAACTAGAGCCTGGTGAACTCTATCTCTCTTGCAGATGCAGTAACTACATATTAGTAACACCAATTACAGACAAATGCAGAGAAAGCTCCTTCTGTAAAACTTATTTGTTTAGGTTATTTTTATGTAGCTTATAAATAGTATATTGTTCGTTTTTTGTTGTAAAGTTTGTGTCTATTATTTTGTAAGAAACACAATGGTGTCATCAGCATAAGGCAGTGGTCACACACTTATGGTTGGTTTGTGATGTACAACTAGGCTAATCCTAGCATACGCCTCTTTTAATAGATATTGGTCCTCATATGTGTTAAAAGGTTGTCAAATCTATCTTTTTTTCAAGATAAATCTTTTGACTCATCCAGATATGATACAAATGTGAAGACACAACCATTCATTTCACCAAACTGTAACTTTTTGCTGTGGTACTGTATTCGTTTTTCTGTCTACAGTATTCAGATGGTCATTAATGTTCAAAGCCAAGTTTACGGGTTGCATTTAAAAAAAAAACTGTGGTGGGCCTTAATTCAAATTAAGGGCCTCATAAAAATAGGCAATGAAGCCATCCGCTGGCTTGCTTTGTTTCATCTCCTTCCAGTAAATTGTTTTCTTGCTTGTTTAAAAGGTGCTCTGATAATTAGCAAAAGGGACAGGCTGAGTGTCCTGTGGTGAGAGTGTGTTGCTTGTTAAGAGCAACCCAGAACCCAGAAGATATTTGTTCTGCTTTTCAACCACAGGAAGAAACATGAATGAAACAAATGGCTGTTAGTGTAACCTTGGGAAAACTACTCAGAATGTTCTGATATATTGCTCCATTATGTTTGGTGCACACTGCTAACATTAGAAAATTGGTCCAACATCTCACATAAGTGGGGAAAAAAATGTGTTGTAGTGCAGTTAGATACCACATGCCTTGTGAGTATATGCTGATGTTCTGTTTCGGAGAGTTGACACAATCCTCCAGAAAAAAATCTTCCTGAATTAGCTCATCTCAGCTACTGTTTTTCAAATTTAATATCGTCTGGTGGTGATAGTACATCTATATCAGTGTTGTTACAACTGAAAAACTGGATGAGGAGACGCAAATTGAATCTATGTGACTTCCCAGACAATTTTCTTCCACTGCTACACACCAGAGAATTTAAAAAAATCTCTTAATCCAATGAAGTGACATTGTCATGAGAAATTCATTCTTCCCATTTTAATTATAAGCTGAAACTCTGTCTTTTGTATTTCTGAATCCCATCTCTGTTTTTTCTCTCAGCAGGTGTGAGCAGTAACCAGGTAGTTGTTCCTGAAAAAGTGAATGCAGTGCTGGGAAAGAACATCACACTGGGCTGCCGAATAGAAGTGGGTCCCAGCCTCAGCTTCACGCAGAGCTCCTGGGAGCGTCGTCTTCCTTCAGGCACTATTACCCTGGCGGTATTTAATCCCGAGTTTGGAACCTCATATTCTTCACAATATGAAAAACGTATCTCATTTGTTTCCCCTTCAATACGAGATGCCACCATTACCCTTGAAGGAGTTGACTTTACGGATATCGGGTCCTACACCTGCAAAGTGGCTACATTTCCTTTGGGCAATACACAAGCATCCACCCATGTTAATGTTTTAGGTAAAGTACTGCTTCCTCACTTCACTTCCTCTCTGAGTGGTTCTTCATATTGTCCTTAAATCTCACTTTTTAATGAAGGTCATTGTTTGTTGTGATTTAGCAAAGCCTAGGTGAGCACTCAGTGTCTGCCCTGGAGGAAACAGCGGCTCCCTGAAGCAACCTAACGTTTAAATTACAGCCTGGACACATGCCATGTACATTTAAATCCCTGCAGGAATCTGAAGCTGCATAAAGGCTGCTTTGGTGTGGTCCCACCTATCTCCCTCCCCCACTGTTACTTTAAAAGAAAAGCCAATGCAACTGTTTTTATATTCACAACATTATATCCAAATGTTTCACAGAGTTTCCATGGCATCCTCTGTAAAGTCACTTAGGCCCTACATGCAAGACACAAAACGGAAACCTTCTCATTCAGCAAGCACATAAATATAATGCAGCAAGTTCAGAGTGTCCCAGCTCAATGCAACTTAGTTGCTTGCAACAACAGTTTAATTGTAGGGTGTGACACAGGGTGACTCTCATGACATTTAGTTGCGTTTTGCTAAGCTGGATTACAACTACAGTCTGCACCTCTTTCCCTCAAGGCTGTGACGATTGTTGATAGTTTTCTCTCCTTTAACCATTTGTCCATTATGTCCTTAAGCGATAATCAAAGCAAGGTTATTGCCAGGTCACTAAACTAAAAATGAAAACTACCTGTGGATCCCTTCTGAGCTCCCAAATAAAATAAACAAAACAAAGCCGTATTATATTTTAATGGGTTTTCCCATTAGTATGTTCTTATTTTATCCAAACACAAAGCATACATTGAAAGCAGCATATGTTCCTTTACATAGAAGTTTCTCACTGTAGCCTCACTTTCCAGAGGAGCAGAAACACTGAACTTTCCCTGTGGTCAGCGTATGTTTCAAGCCCTAAATTGGTGCCGTTGCTGAGAGGAGGAGATTGCAGTGTAGGCAGCAGCAGGTTCTCATCATCCTCCAGAGACTGAAGGAGACTCTGATGTCTAATGAGCGGTACATTAAGTGCTGCTGTGACAGCCACGGTGTCTAGAACCTCACAGGGTTCAGTTACAGCTTTCTGTCTTCTCTGAACACCTTCTTGCATATTTTGTTTTTGTTTTTTGGGGGGTGGGTGGGTCTTATATGGATGCATATATCCACACTCAAACACAAAAGCACATCCTTAGTCCTACTTTACATTTCAGATGTAATTAGGGTGTGGTGTATATTCTTTGCAGTATGATACATGTCAAGTGGAATGTAGATTATCTCACAGGGTATTTCTCTGTGAGAAGGCACATCACGATTACAACACCAAATGTCAGCAGGTTCAGAGAGGAGTGCCTTCCTCATCTCTGCTTTGTTTAGAGGTGACTTTTACAGTTTCCTCCGCCACTCTTTTGATCATGCAGCCCCACTGTCACAAGTCCAATGTGAACAACAACCACAGCAAACAAGAATTTCTGAATAAAACAAAGGTTTCTGGAGAAAACGTCATGGTTAATCCAGCATACGATTGTGTACATAATATTGGTTTTCCAGTGTAAATCAAAGTTGTTTTAGTTTCAGCTTCAGTTTGTAAGTTAACTTAAGATTCCCAGTTTTGATTCCTGTTTATACTCTGAGGTTTATGCGAAGACAGACGACTGCGTTTTCGTTCCTTTCAAGTGGACTAAAGTAAATCAATGATACTTTCAAGCCCATGAATAATGCACCAAAGTCACGACAAACTTCATAATGATCAACAGGTGCAACAGACGTCGGGTTAATTTCAAACCTCACACAATCGTGATGCAAAACTTGCTATGAATAGTATCAGTATCGTGAGGCACAATCTCAATAATTGTATTAGCTTTCTCACGTTCTTTCATTTTATCTTTGTGTCAACAGCAACTCATAAAAAGGGCCAAAGCTTTTAAGGAACAGTTCAACAGGAAATGTTCTTTGCTATGTGAGCCAAAAGTCCTCGACATTAAACAATAGGAAAGAACCAAAGGAGGAAATTTTGACACATGACCCATTGTTTTCAGATACTTGCAGGGCAAAAGGAAAACTACTGAAAAAATAATTGGCTGTCTTTTAAACAAAACACACTAAATTACTGGCAAGATGTAAGTGTGTACTAATAAATGGTCCAGCTGATAACTCTTTAGAGGTTTAAGCTCCTCTGACTGTTCATATGGCCCAAATTGCAACTCTGTTCTTGAGAAAAGAGCCCAGCAAAGAGATGGCTTTTTCCAGTCTGTTGCCATACCCGAACTTCTGCTTCAAACAGTTAATATTTCTAATTATTATTTTTTTATGCTAGATTTTACCGTAAAAATGTTCCAGTGTTTAAGTGCATGGCCATTGACCATGCTGTTAAACCTTTTCTTTATAGAGCTTTCCACTCAGCGTTTAGTCTGCATTTGTGGACAGGAAAGGGCCAGAGCAGCCAGATTGCTGAAGGGAAATCGTTACCCTTTCCCCCAACAGATTTCAAACCATCCAAAGCGTCCCCCTCCCTTTTTGACAGCAACTTCAAATTAACACCCCTGACTGATTTAGGTATTCTGATGCTTCAGCCAGCTCGCGTCCGAACACAGAGCTGCTACTGTTTATAGTCAGAGGCCTGCAAGGAGGGGCAGGGAGGAGGGAGTGAATAATGTGAGGTAGAGGACTAAGAGCAGCGTCCCCACCCCGGGACAGGAGACGCCAGGTTATTTTTGGAAAAAGGCGGTGCCGGTAGTTATTTGAATTTGTTGTTGGAACTCCTGCCTGTCTGAGGTGTCTTAAAGATGATGGCCTCGCCTTGCAGCGCTTGCCCCCGTGCACCACCTTTAAAACTGTCACCACTGTAGTAAGTGGAACAGCTGTTAGTCTTCATTTAAAAGAGGCAGCTAGGGGGGAGACGGTTCAGATTGTGCACTGCGGGACAAAGAATAAGGCAATGGTTTGTGATATGTTTATTTTGTGATAGATTAGAATAAGACAAACAGTTTTTACTGCTTTACACAACAGGTAGAGAGTTGAATTCTAGTCATGTCCCCTTCACATGGATCTGTTTTGTTTCTCTGTTGAGAAAATCCTTGTTGCGTTTAAACATTGAGTCGTTCTCAGGAAGCTGGTGTATCATTACTTCACCTCTAAAGTGCTGAGAAGAGTACGGTAACTCAGCTCCTCGTCTTCCAGTACAACAAAGTCAAATATAAACACAGCACAGTGTTGGCTGCACAGTGTTTTTCTTCAAAGTCACATGCCTGCTTCAGGTATTGATGCACTTTTCACAGAACAGGACTAATGGAGGTTACTGCTTTGTATTACCTTCACTCAGACATACTTTATTTTTGACACACAGCAATAAAGAAGTCTCCACAGAAATGTGTACATATAATTGAATAGCGTGGTTCATTAATTTTTAAAGCATATAGGTGAAATGGAAGAAGTCAATCTGTGCTCTTTTGGCAGTTAAGTACACTGAAGCCTCCGGGCATTATTTATTCATATTCGTTCACAACGGGATCGATATTCATTTTGTAATCTTTCCCCCGCTCTGTCATTTCTTCCCCCTCCTCCTTCTCTTCACAGTGGAGCCAAAAGTGTACGTGTCCGCAGGCCCCACAGCTCTGCTGGACGGTGGCAATGAGTCACTGGTGGCCACCTGCATTGCAGAGCGTGGTCTTCCTGAAGCCGAGGTTTTCTGGGAGACGGAGCTGTACGGGCGATCTGAGAAGCAGAGTCAGAATGAGGCAAACGGCATCACCACCGTACATGTGCACTACATGTGGCAGCCACGGAGCTCCGCCCAGGGGAAGACACTCACCTGTGTGGTGAGACACCCAGCCCTGCAGACAGAGTTTCGTATACCCTACATGCTAAATGTCCAGTGTAAGTAATGAAACATAAGACCTCCTTCCAATATAGATACCTTAGTTTTGGCTAACTGCAGATACACAGTGTGGCTGTAATACCAGTGTTGAATTAATTGGCTGTATTCCTGCTGAGGAAGAGCCTAGGAATCATCCTTGCAGGCTTAAATTAACCTTGGTTTTCTAACTTTGTTTAAATAAAAAGTAGCAGTTAATAAAATGTACTGATTCTGTATTAATTAGTAAAATAACAGATAAAAACAGGCTCAAGGTAAATTTAAAGCACATTATCATAGTCTTGTCTTAGCTCTGAGAGAATGTTTAGGCTGCTGTCATTTACAGCCACAAAACCATACACATGTCATGAGCTTCCAAGAGTCAGCTGAAGTGAAATAATATTAGTAAAGTTGTGTACAACACATTATGTTACCATAAAAGCGATAAAATCTACTGAACAAGCATTACACTCAGCCAATGTCCTCCTTGTGTAATTTCTCTATCACTCAACATAATACGTTTAAAGGAAGAGGAAGAGGCGCTAAAACACTGTTGTGTCAACTCACATGACCATAGATTTCAGTTAAGTAAAAAAAAATTCTCCCAACACACAAAGAAAAGCTGCTGGCATAGCTGTGTGAAATCCCTCCAAAGTGCTGATAGCTTCCTTCATGCTATGTTATCTCTCACACTAGTTGCTGATACTGAGATATATCTACCACTTTGATCTGGCATGCAAATATGAAATCTTTGCATCCTTGTTTTTAATGTCAACACTGAGGCTGCTAATACAGATAAATAAAATTATTAATCATCACTTAAAAAAATCAGCTGTCTTTAAAACAAAACAAAAGTCTCAAACACAGCTGAAAATGTATGTAGAGGTAAAAGTATCAAATATAATCCTGCAGCCACTGCACTGAAATGCTTTTGCAATATAGAACAAAATAATCATCATTATTATAACACTATATTTTTAGCCCTAAAACAAGCAGTGTATTTTATCAATATTAACCCGTGCTGCTGTGTGAGTGCAGGCTAATGAAGGTGTTTTATGAAATATTGATCAGACCTCAGCAGGAATTCAAGTAGCAGACTCGGGCTGCTGGGGGCAGCGGATGGAGACGCAGAAAAATCAAGGTTAATATGGGAAGAAAGGAGCTTCCCAGCTCAATAAATCACACCAAGTGCAGAGGCAAGGGATTCTAAGTGCAAAAGAAGCACAATTTCAACGTTGAACCGTGTGAAAAGGGTCAGCGGACATTGTGGGCCAAGACATCTTCTTGTGCGAAATAATGAGTTCCTCATTTATCCTCCAGAGAAATCAAAATGAAAAATTGGATATCTAAGACAGTGTTTGCCATGTTTTATTACAGTGGCATGTGCTGGGCTTCATTTAGGCATCCTCCCGTCTTCCTTGATTTTTTTTTTTTTCCCCTTTGTCGTGGCGACGCAGTAGAGTGTATTATTAGCTGCAGTTCATCTGCTGTCTGAGTCTGTCATTTTCGAACTTTCCACCAACCCAGGATCATTTGTTTGTTCGCTTGGCTCGCTTTCACCAACAGATCCTGTGCCCTGTTACAGTCCTGCAAAGCCTTTTCTTTGTCATCGTGTGCTGCTGTGCTTTATAATACGTGCTTTGTTTCCTCCGGAAAAGCTCATTTGTCATCAAGCTGCAGGGATCACAATGACTGATTGTGAAGTCCAAGTCTTTTAACTTGAAAAAGAAAAAAAGAGAATAATTGATGGTCAGTGTGACCAACCCGACTGCAGGAGGAAGTTAAAAAAAGTACAGTAAAATTGTGATTTTTAAAGATTTTTTATTGTATTTTGTTTTACAGTTGCACCAGCGGTATCCATCATGGGAATTAGCAAAAATTGGTACGCTGGCCAAGCAAATGTGAAATTAAACTGTGAAGCCAAGGCCAACCCAGCTGCGCGTCAGTTCACATGGACCAGGTCAGTATGCCTCAACAGTCTCTGATATGTGAAATACAAAAAATGCATTATATCTCTCACACATATTATTATACTGGTCAATCAAATAGCTCAATAATTAACACAGTTACTTGCAAACTGTGAAAAGCTTACAAGTTCTTTCAGTTGTAATTCAAATGGATAAACTGACTAAATGTGGAATAAACTAAATCTGCAGTACCCAGGCAGGGGATTAATTTGGAAAGGAAAGTGCTGAAGGCAATCCAAGAGCATTATTGCAAAACAGAATGCATTAATCATTTCATCTGAGTTATCTTGTTTGCACAGCACCACCAGCTATAGATCTAAATTTGGACTTAAGGAATTCAAGGCCAGGTACTGCTTAGACTCAGCTGTTGTAACCTTTGCAGCGCTGAGTAGTGTTTGAGTGCTGTAAAAGCAACGCCCTTGTCAACTCATAAACCCGAGAAAAATCTTTTGTTGTCTTAAAGCAGTCAGGAGTTTATATTCATGATCTGCACTACTGAAGAATGTAAATAATAGAAGCCAGGGGTAAATACTCTCTATGGGTCATCAAGTAAAATCTCACTCACACGGAAGTACCCTGAAACTTGTGTGTTAGCTTAGTTGATCAGTAGCTCGTCCAATACCGGGCTCAAGGGACGCTTTATTAGCAATTACTACGGGACTGATCAGCTGTTGTTTGGTTCATTTGCATATATCTAAGATGGGTTTAAACAAACCTCAGTGAAGCAATGATGTGAAGAAGCCTCAGTCTATAAATTACCTCCAGCATAACTTTCGGGCCTGGACACTGGAGCTGTCGAATGCACTGCTGCGCCCATCGGGAAGACTCCCTGCTATAAATAAAAAGATTCCAAACAGTTCATGCATCTGAGCAGCGCTGGCCTATTGGCAGCTCTTTGTCATCATCTTGCTTTGAAAACAAGGACTATGCTCTCATTTGGGCTGACAGCCTCAGTAAAGTCTAGACAGCCAACCTCTTTTGGGCCAGACCTTGTGTTCATGCAGAAAGCTTTTTCCTCTCAACTGATGGCAGAGCAGGCAGCTCAGATTATCATGTGATCTTATAATAGTTGCACCAGGAAAACTGGACCAACAGCGCAGTGATGTCATCGCAAGTCTTGAATAGCCTTTTTCAGTTGTACATCGAAAATGATTTATCTTAAATATGAAGTAGTGATGTTTTTTTTTCCAGTCCTGCAGGCTTTTTTCTCTGTTGTACAGCACGCTGAAATGTCTGTCTGTCATGTTTAATTTGTGTACAGGTTGGATGGCTTGATGCCTGAGGGTGTTGAGATCTCAAACAATAGCCTTGCTTTCACTCGGCCATTGGAGCGCAATGATTCTGGAGTCTATCACTGCGAAGTGACGAATGACATCGGTACCAGCAGTCAGGTTGTGAACATCTGGGTACAAGGTATTTTTTCTCCCTTTTCTCTCTCTCTAGCTATTTTTTTTTTTTTTTTTTTGGTTTTGTTGTTTAACCATCTCCAGGGTTTTCACAAGAAAAGTTGTTTGACTAATTTAGACAACTAGTAAATTAGTTGCCAGGAAGGTCCCTAAAAATAAATCAAAACAGCCATTGTATTAAAACCAAGAGGGGTCAGTTTAGCCCCTGCAATCAGATTAGAGTGAAAATCCTGATGTCATCTCAGGAAATCTTGAGAGCTTACTCACTCTGAAACTAAAATGAATAACTGCCTTTTTGCATTTTTCATGCTTTTCTCATGTAGGATTAAATTCTTTTTTAAATCAGGGCCCATATCAACACTTTTAGCAGAGCTAAGTCTTTATATACGTATAAATGCCCCTGCCCTGATCCGCTTTCACACATTCCTGGCAACAGAGGAGCACAGGGTGCAGATAGAGTATCAGTACCAAACGTTTCCAGTGTTGTGGCTTTGGCAACATTAGATGTTTCAGATAAGGAAGCGGGTGTTTACCCCTGCTTGCTCAGCAGAGTACGCACTCATGTAGCCTTTTTCTGTGTTTTGTTTGAGGTCAAGTTTCACAGCAGGACCTAGTGAATTGTGCTTGCGGATTTGCAGTACACACAAGTTTGTTTTTGTACACCATGAAATATGTTATTGAGGAGTTGTTGTTTTTTTTACAGCTGCAGTTGCACAAATTATGATCGAATTAGTTTAATTGAGCACTTCAGAAATGAGACTATCAAGTAGAGAAAACTTATTAATTGTATACTGGGGTTTCCCTGCAGTTGGATTTGTTGAATGTTGTAGATCCATTGATACAATTCTTGTCATAAAACATGCAGCTCGCTGAACTGCCCCCGTCTGCCATCAGGGTGCGGATCCTGAGAACTCTACATCATTTTATTTTCATTTCTCCTCTCCTTCTTTTAATCCTATTCCAAACAAAGCTACTGCTGCTTTTGGCCACGTATTCCTTTAACACACGCAGTCTTTTTGGTTTCCCATTGTCGAAAGGAGTGAGCTGGAGATGTCCCAAAAAAGTCTGTCAAGCTCCATCTGCGTACAGTCCTGGTTTGGAGTCCCGCTCCAAACAAAAGCACAGCTGACATCCTGTCCGAGATGGACTTGCGCTGAGCAATTATCTTGCTTCTCTTGTCAGATATTACAACTTGGACATGCGGCCCCTTGCCTCTCTGTCCTGTAGAGATAGTTGGGTTGAGCTCAGTGATATTTCCTCCACACACCCTCACCCTCCCCGGAGCTGTTTGGTGTAGCTGTTTCACATTCCCAGTTGCGTACGCAGCCTTGTGGTTTTTGGCCGCTCGTCTCTCAAATGATCAGCTACATAGTTGCAGACGCTTGTAATCTGTGTGGGGTTAAAATGTGCCGCTGCAGGGTGGGATTGATGGTGACTGATGAAGGAAGTGATTGCCAGTATATCGGTTCTCCAACCTTGATCTGTCTTCCTTTTCCTCTCTCCTGCTTTTGCTTTACTCCTGATCCTTCAGGCTCACACACTGTGTGTAATTGTAGGTAATTAGATTCTTACTCAGTTACCAAATCATGGAAATCATTATAGCTCTATGGGGATTCAGATTTTGATAACTAGTACTTAAGAACCTCCTGGTGATGCAGACCTTTTATTAGTGCGAGTCATATTGCTTTGTAGTCGGGCCTTTGATCTGCCTGCGCACTGATCGGCAAGGAGTGTCAGACTGCTCTTCGTTTCAGAAGCTGGAGGTCATCATGGAAGCACTTATCCTGACCTTGAGCTCCAGGCAGCCCTTTCCTCTGCAGCTGTAGCAGAGAGCAAATCAGATGCAGGAACCTCACATCGATCAGTGTTTCAGCTTCTCACATGACTTCCCCACAGCAGAATTTAGAGGGGAAAAAAGAGGGGAGAGCTAATCACAATTTCTCTGATGCGTAGGAGTGCACGTCCTCCGATCCCTCTCCGTCTCACTGTCATGTTCACGCACACATTGACATTTAACACTTAACCTCTTTCTGCCCTGCTTATTTCCCCCCGTTTTGCTCTACAGCACAGCTTTCAGCAGGCTCTCTCTCTCTCTCTCTCTCAAGAGAGGCATGTGTCTGTGCAGTGTTGGTATAAATTGATCTAAAAACCATTCGCACTTGCTTTGTTACAGAACATAAAGTGTAGTCTTTCTTCCTTTCAGTTTTATGATTCGTCTCTCCATCTGCTGTCTTTCCCCTCTGGTTTAAATCATTTCATCACATTTGCTCTGCAGATCCTCCCCCCACTACCGCAGCCGCCAGCACCACTGCCTCTGTCCTCCACGACACCCCTGGAACCGGCACTGCTGTGGACCGGCGGAGAGCCCCGTTCACCTCCCCCACCTTGGCGTCCTTACACGACAGCAGCCTGGGTACTATAGTTGGTGGGGCAGTGGGAGGAGTTCTCTTCCTGATCCTCTTGCTGATCCTTGGCGGGGCTTGCTATATGCACCAACGTCGAACCTTCAGAGGGGACTACTACACCAAACAGTATTTGGGACCCTCCGACATGCAGAAGGAATCTCAGCTGGACGTGCTGCAGCCGCACGAGCTGCAAGAGGTCTACGGGGACAAAACGAGCAAAGGTAGCCAGGATCTGAAACCCAAATTGGGTGGGGATATCATTTACCCCGACTACACACCTGAGCGCAAAGACAGGGACGACTGGGTCGACAGGGGAGATGCCAACAGGGGTTTCAAGGAGGGAAACTACTACCCAGATCACTACAACAGCCAAAACATGCACCCCTGCGGGCCTCCTGTGCACAGCCCCATAGTCAACAACGGCTCCCCCTATCTCCCGGAGGACTGCTATGACAATGGTACAGACAGCGACTACGTGTCCCACATGGACGGATCTGTGATTTCACGCAGGGAGTGGTATGTTTGAAGAAACAAGCAAATGGAGGGGGAGAAATGGACAGCTGACTGAGAATAATTTGACAAATGACAGATTTAAATATCATTAAAAGCTGTGTCATTTCAGTTAAAGGATAAAAGAACATTTCTCAGCTCAGTCTCACAATGAGCTCTTTGAACAATACTGCTCTGCCTTGATTTTAACCACTTAAACCTTAAGGACATGGACATGGATTGCGTTTCACTTTTGTGGCATTTCAAGGAGCTGCAAATATGCTGGAGCGCCTCGGTGATATTATCTGTGTAGGTTTAAGAGGCTTCAGCGTACAGTGACGTTTCATCTGATGTGAATGAGGTTTTTCGTTCTCGTGTTTGCTACCTGTCTTTGTCGCAGGTCACATGTCAGGTGTTCAAAGCCTTGTCAGTGAAGTATTTATTGCCCTGACTGACTGAGCTCTGCTCCCATTAAATTCTGTGGCATTAAAAAAAAAGATCTCATGATTGCTTACAGCCTTTTCGTACAGGCGAGCTGTTTATCATGACCGCGATCAGTATTTCTAGCAAATTATATTGCATGGTTTTGTTTTGGGTTTTTTGTTTTCCAAAGTATGTTTGTAAGTGAAAGGGAAAGTCGTGTTTAAAAGGGAGAATTACACAGGCATTGTACCAAAGGAAAGAAAGCTGACGTTACATAGACGCTGCCCCCGTGCACAGCTATTCTGTGGCTTTTGTCATTTCACAGCATCTCCTGGAACTTTGTTATACTATGGAAAACCTGAGCGCAGTCACACTTTGTGGATATAGTTTTACTTTCAGCTCCAATTATTTTATTTTGTTATTTAGTTGTTGTTTGTAAAATGCCAGGCCTGGTTGATTTGGAAACACCCATGGATTTGATGTCACAGCAGCTATGTACAAAGCAAAAGGGGCTAGTAAACCGCTCAACTCAACACCTGATCTGATAAAACTGCGAATGAAAAAAAAAAATCAGTCATTGCTATCTGCCATGGTTTTTTGGACGACGATTTCTTTAAATGTGAGACAGCAGAAAATGTTTGACACTTTAGGTTAGCAGCACAGTAATAGCAGACTAATTAAAAACTATAATCAGTGAATGTAGCTACTTCGAATGGCTAATCCAGAAAAAGCGCAGACCCTAAGTAGAATTAAAACATTTGCTTTGATATTAACTTACTCATTTTACTCAGTGGAGAAATGTGTTAATTCAGTCACATTCATGCAGTGAAAAGCACAACTCTGTTATTACAGTTGTGAGCAAACATCAAAAGAAGCCACCCGGGCCTTGGCCTTCCCCACTTAGCCATGATAACAGGCTGTGATGCTGTCTTTTCCATTTTCCCTCCTCACTATCCTCGGATTTCTGTCGGTAAGACCAACACCAATAGGGTTTTTTTTTTTTTAAACTTCACTTCAAAGTAATGTGTTATAAATACCAGATGTGACTGTAACGGCTGTCATCATCTAACATTACGCGGCTCCATAAACCACCAACAGTTTCACTGCTCCCGCTCGACACTCTAGTGTCGTGATTCATTATTGTAAATAAGCAACAAATGGAGAAGGAGTACTAATAAACTGATCCTTCAGTTTCAGATTGGATGTGTTTGTTTAAAGTGTGATTGTTTGAGTAGCTTGGAAACGTCGCGAGCAGTTGACGTCACTACTGTACAGGCCCTAATGCTGGGGTTTGGCTCCTCCGAGGATACGCAGCGATCATGGAAACGGGAAACTTAATCCATGAATGAAAAAATCAGAACCATGTAGGTTAAAGCTGTCTCTGCAATGGCTCCCCGAGGGAAATATATATATTTTCTTCTTTTTTCCTACAAACAACAAAAAACTTGGAACAAACCCCAGGAATATTAAGTTAAAGCTAAAAAGTCGACATCATCAGTGATCTCATCTGTTCCTGCTTGATTTGACCTCAGCCATTTGTTTCCTCAGGAATGATACATGAATCAAAGTGACCTATGCTAAGTCTCGCATGAATGGGAAAACGTACCCTTTTGGAAACGCACCACTTTAGTCAGCTTGTGTGTTACAGCTAGAGAAAAGTCTATGAATATGTATTAAAGTCAGATCAGGACAGGAGGTCAGGTGTATTTATTATTATGAGGTTTAATAGATTTTGGACGCACTTAAAAAAAACCAAAAATATTTCTCCGCACTTGATTTCTCATGCCAGAGCTTTGGTTGAAGGTTTAGAAGCTGAGAATAAACTACTTTAATCTCTTCAGCTCGCTCTCACTCTCATCGCCAAAACACACACACCCGCTCGCCACACATCTGCCACTGCAGCCCACATTCAAGGAGCAGTCCTTGCCTCAGACTTCAGGCTTTTTAATTAACTTTTATTTTTTTCCCCCCGTCATCACACTCGGCGACAGAAGTGCCCGGGCTCTCTGATATATAGCACGTCCATGTCTGCATGTGCGTTTTGTTCCTTTTTTTTTTTCTATGGCCGATGATTCATAGCTGTCTGCTTCAGTTTCTTATTCAGTCTCAGCTACATCTCAGAAAGACAAAAATGAGCTGGAGTGATGAATGGTTTTTTTGTTTGTTTTTGTAGTTGTTTGCATGCAAATGAAACTATTTGCTTTTTATTTCTCATCACAAATGTTTCTATACGTGTACATATTGGGATTAGGTTTCGTTTAGGATTAGCTGTTCTCTCGGTTCGGTTTAAATGTTGGTGTACAGTTTGTTCTGGATTCCCCTACTGAATAGTTGGTGCCTTAAATGGGCTGAGCAATGCACAAGCTTAGGAACTTAAAACTATTAATATCATTAAAGAGGAGGACCGACTGGTTCTTTAATATGTATTTCATCTCCATATTTAAGATTTGCTGTTATCAAAGCATTAGAGTTGACAAAAGGTTGATTGTCATGCCTTATACGTTTTAAAAGAAGGACACATGTAACAAGTTGGTTACTGAGAGAATTGCAATAAGCAAAGTTTCACTGGGAATTTAGTCAAGCCAGATTCATAGAAAATATTATTGTCCTGTAAATATGCTGGCTCTTTTATCATTATTATTATTATTATTGAAGAATCTTATTTTTTGTATGAGGTCTGTAATTTTCTGAGTATTAGTTTATCTTTCGAGCATTGAGGAGCTTGTCTCATGATAACATAGGCGGCGATCCTGTTTTCACTGCATTTTGTATTTGTTCTTGAGAGTTTGTGACCAATTATTTTGTACATTGTCATTTGAATGATTGATGTCTCACATGAATCGGAGATGGAAGTTTGATAGATTGTATTATGTTCCTTTGTTTGCAATAAAAACCACCATTATTGCACTCAATTGTGTCCTGGGATTCTGTTTTTGCAAAGGATTTTAAATTCTTTTACTTTAATTATCTTGCATAGAGGTTTCCCTTATCAAATTAAAGCCTGTCAGTAAGACACAAGACTAGTACAATAGCCTTGCAAACCTTACAGTTAAGTCCGAATGAGATGTGATGGGCATGCAGACTTTCAGCTTTAATTCAGTAGTTTCACAAAAATGTTGCAGTATGTTGGCTACACCAAAAGTTTAAAGGTTTCTTTAGCTTTTTTTAGTCTAATTATGGCTTATTTCACTTGCATGCAGTTTGGAGCTCATATTGAAAATTCTTGTTAAAAGATAACAAATGCAAGTTCAACAGTTCTTAATGTCTTGATGCATGCTCAATCATCCAGGTACGTAAATCCCAAAAGGTTGATTCTGTCCATCTGGACGTAGTGTTCTCAGTGGGAGAAACGCTTTGTCACTCATCCAAGTGACTTCTTCAGTCTCAGCTGACTGCAGGTTTCCCCAACAAGAAGGCCCTGAGTAAATGTGGTTGTCCCAGCTGGACATTGTCAAAGCTGGGAAGGCACCTAAAGAAACCTCCAGCCGATCCAGGAGAGAAGAACAACTGCTGCCTAAGCAAAAATCCATAGTGATCACCTATGTGTCAGGAATATCGGAACAGCTGAGACGCATTTTTTCTAAACACAGTCTCTGTGGCTTTTAAACCCCAAAACAGGCTGAGCCCAAAAAGTCGTCCACCCCAAGGATCAGGTCCCCAGACACAATCAGAGTAACATAGTGTACGCCGTTAAGTGCCAGGAGGATTGCCAGGATTTATACATCAGGGAAACCAAACAATCTCTCGTGAAGCGGATGGCACAACACAGAAGAGCTACCTCATCAGGCCAGGACTCTGCAGTCTATTTACACCTACAGGCCAGTGGACCCTCTTTCAATGATGAGGATGTACACAGAGGACAGAGAGGATCGCTAGTTTGAGCGCGGAGTCAAGGAGGCCATTTACGTGAAAAGGGAAAGACCATCTCTGAAAAGCATAGTAATGATCAAGGAACTGACCTCACAGGCCATTGCTCATTCAGTGGGCTGGTTTCAATTATTGTGCAAATGTACTGTTTACAAGGTTGGGGAAACCTGCAGTCAGCTGAGACTGAAGAAGTCACTTGGATGAGTGACGAAACGTTTCTCCCATTGAAAACATTACGTCCAGATGAACAGAATCAACCTTTTCGTTCTTCTTAATCTGTCATAAAATAAAGTGCTAACAGTGTTCACCTGATTATGTAACTACATGTCAATAAACTGTCCAATTAATTCTGATCTGAAAGTACGGGTCCAGTGAGCTTGTGATCTCATTCATTGCCTTTGAAATAGCTGCTTTAAGAATAGGGACGAGGTCTGCGACCACTTGCAGTCAGTTGAGGTTAAGCGGTCAATTGCATGCAATCTGTTTGCAATGAATCAGAAATTTGTAAATCCGCTGCTGGCTACAGACACAGAATTCACACTCACTTCTTAGATTCGGACTGACTGATTGATTGAAATATGCCTGTGCTTATAAATTAAACAGCAACCTTTGCAATCAGTCTGTCTGCGTGATTGCAGTCAGTGTGAGTCAGACTGGAGCTGTTTGGAAACAGGTCCTAACAGACAACCGGCGCAACTGCCTTGCAGTTGCAAGTGGTTGCTGAGAGACTGAGGCTGTTGGATGTTGATTGCCGCAACTACTTACATTCTGTTGTTGACAGCAAAAATACTACATGCAATTATCAGGCAACCAGCAGTTTATTTCTAGTACCAAGGACATTGCTGTCCTCCTATAGTGTAAGTTGTAATGCAATGTGGTTGTTCGTTATTATTATTATTTGATTTAAAATCCATCGTGGTGGTGTACAGAGGCAAGATTGCAAAAACATTTATTGTCATTTATCTCCACACACACTTGTTAAATGTAAAGTCAGGGGTCAGTTTTGGTGAAGAAAGTGTTTCAGTCAGTGTTGACAAGTCTTCATGTTTCTTTGTGTAATGTTTCACTTGTGGTGGAAAGTTAATTCTTAATCTTGGAAACAAGATTTGACAAACAATAGTTGTGTTCAGGTTTAAAGGTCCACCATCCTAACACTAGCCCCAAAGAACAGCTAGTTTCATTTTCAGCTTTGCTCTATTAGAGAGAGAATATTTTTTTGTATGTGATTGAACTTGTTTAATTCTCTAGTCCCAGTGCAGATATGATTTTAAATATAGCCAAATTGTGGCGGTGAATGTCATTGATTCCAGTCAGATTAGGATCAATGGGGGTTAGTCAATTTCCATCTTGGGGTCTTTGTGGTTTTCCTTGAGCCCATTACTAACCACATGTGCAGTGCGGTGCAGCACATTGTCCTGCTGGGGAAAACCATTGGCATTGGGGATCTTTGTTAGGTGTGTGTGCTTGTCTTCAGCAATGTTTAGGTATGTGGTACATGCCAAAGTTTAATCTGAAGGGGTTGCCAAGACCCAAAATTTTCTGGTCAGTGTTATGCAGATCATCTGTCAGCGGATATTGCTGATTGGGGGACATTACAGACTTGTGTCCATTGGATGTCTGATCATGGATGGATGGATGGATGGAATTCTTCCACACATGAAGTGAAGAGGTCATTGAAGCCAGAAACCATTAATCTCTGTCCTCTTCCACTATCCACACCTGTGTAGTTACTAACTGACCCATCTCACAAGGCTCTCCATCCTGTCCAACTCACCACCCTCTTCATCACTGGTTCACAGAGAGAAGAGAGCGATGCCGCTGCGTTTTTGTCACACCCGCACCAAATTCAGGGCTACTGACCACCCACAACTCCCCCCGTCACCCATCAGTCCTCAAAGAATAAGTTGTTTCTCTTTAAATACTGTGAACTTCTCACACTGAAATTATGCCCTGAAAACATTTACAAAGGAATTTACAATGGCATCCCTAATCCAGGCCCTCCTACTCTAAGTGCCTGCGTTTAATCCCCAGTGTTAACCTGGCTTTGGGAGTGCCGCTCACTATCAATATGTGTTGTTTAGCAAAGTGACAATCGCTCCCTCTGGTCCAGATTAAGCGGAGAAGGAGAAACCAGATACTTAATCCTTTGTGGCATGGAAAGAAAACTCCCTTCTTGGACTTCACTTTCATCACCTCAGGGTCCACGTCTGCCAGAACCAAAAGCACTCACTCTATTATCACAGTGTTGCCTGACTGGGATAACCCCAGCCTAATCCATCACTGCTACCATCTGCATGTTTGTGCAGGCAGGGTGGGTAAATAACGCCGTGTTGGTGGGCTTGGGTTACTTCTTGTTTTTCCTTTCTTAAGTTTTTGGCAGATGGCTGCAAGGGGCATTTTTTCACACATAATGAATCAGTCAGCAAATGTGTTTAGTTTTGTTACCTCGTAAACCACAGTGGGTTCCTTCAGCATTCCTTACAGACCCCACCCAAAGAAGTTCACATCAAAATGGGGATTCTCCATCAGACTTCAACAAGTCAAGTTTTCAAGTTTTCTCCCTCCTTGTTAGTATCAGCATTAACTTTATGTTGTACATTTCGTTGAAGTGAGAGGTAGCCACGTGTATTTAGTTCTGTGACCCTATTCTTCTTCTTCGAAAACAGAGGTTTTAGCTAATGAACACGACCGCAGCCCCGGGGAGCTCACATCAAAGGCCACAGCTGACTGAGCTGAACAGACAAATTGTTTGAACGCATGGATTTGGAAATAATGAACTACTGCAGAGGGTGGGAGAGTGTGGAGCAGTTACAACAAAAATGTTGTCACATGGCCCGCGGTCTCACCGGCCTTGTCTCGGTGTGAAGCGTGTGAGGCTTCGGGGCAGGGGCCAACTGTAACGGCAAATACTGGGAACAGAAAAAAAAAAAACGTGTTTGACATAAACAGCTACACTTGTTTTTCGTTAGAGTGTTCACATTTTACTTAATGTTTTGATATTGAACCTTGATTTCGCTGTAGTTGTTTCCCAGTACATAAGATGACATGGAAATGCAGATGTTCAGATTTCAACAGTGGATCATTGGCAGCTTGTGTGTAAAAGGTGTCGCATGCAGCAATGAATCCGCCTCCGCAGCCCCTCTCAGGTTTATTGACTTTAACACTGTGGTTCAGCTCTTTGTTTTGGTTTTCCACCAAAAATCTTTACTGTTTTGGCTCATTTTAAAGCTCTCATAGGATTGTTTGTGCCTGCTCTGTTGGCTGGCAATTTTTTCTCTCCATGTCTAGTCATGGTTCAGTAGTGACCGAACCAATGTTTGTTCTTCAGTGTCCTTCTTACACTTCCTAGCAAGAGAAAGTTTGTGTTAAATGATTGTTTTCAGCTATTTCTTAATCAGCTATGATAAAATAAAATAAATTACATGTGCTCAAATGTCAAGGATGTGAAGAGAAAAAAAGGCTCACCCGGTCCTTTTCCTGGTGATGTTGACACTGGGGACAGAGAGGCGATGTTGGTGACTGTGCTTCAGTGGGAAATCTAGACCATACCTCTGTGGTAACTCCATCCTATCAGAAACCCTATGATGTCACATACGCCATCTGACTTGGACCTCCCTAGAAAGGCAAGGAGAGCCTTTAGAAAAGTCCCAGCATTTTATTTGTTTCCATCTGCTGGCTTTGCAAATAGAACATAGGACATAACCATAAGGTAATTAGCAGACAATGCACAATAAATGTCAGCAGTGATATTATGCAGGTTACATTGCAGGTTCTACAAAGATTCACAGCAGAAGTCTAAAGCAGTGAAGTGTTACAGATTAAGTTCATAATGCAAACAAATGAGAGAGAAGTCTAGAGGTGCATAAATGTAAACGGTTTCAAAGTGTTGGCTCAAGTAATCAAAGTCTGTTTACGTGGCGAAGACACTGAGGCCGTCTGTTTGCAACCATGTGCTAACCATATTAACTGTTTAAACAAAAACAAACACAGACGCGTTTTTGTTTTTTTTATTCATTTCAGTAATTTGATTAGAGCAATACTTCTCACTTTGTAAGAGACTAGACCTTTGTTCTGCATGGAAACAACATCAACATCTGTCTGTTTGTAGTTGAGTTTTGACCAGGAACATGATGCCAGGCATTGCTGAGATGAAACATATGGTATCTCAAGGCAAGCATCCATCCACTGGTCATTTAGAGGGTGCAGTTAAATATTTGACTCATAGGCGTCACCCATTGGTTTTGGTCATTGCAATCTTGTTTTTTCAGGCTAGACAGCTGAACTGAGCTATGACCACCTAGAACTAGTGTTAACCAGCTAGCTCCGGTAGCAAACCGCAAAATTCATTGTGATTCAGGTTTAAAAAATGAAACACAGAAACCAAAACAACAATCCTTTCAGCAACTTTT